GATAAATAACCTGTAAGTTATATTTAAAAAAATGTAAACACTTATTTAAAAAATTGTATTTACTTAAAAATTATTTTATTTCGTTGTCATTTTTTCTAATTTAAGATTTACCAACAACATGGATAATTTTAAAAAAGGTGGCATATACACGAGTTGAAAAAGAATTGGAAAATGAAGAGGTTCAAAAACTTATGAATCATATTAGTAGGTATTTGGGACACACCAAATATATATTAAAAAAATTATATCGTACTGAAGAATTTCATTAATGTTCACATGTATGTACATAGTACATAGTTAATAAGTTTTATTTATTATCTATATCTGTTATGACTACCTATAGGCTATATTACTATATTAAAAAAAAACATTTTGTTAGCGTAAATTGAAAGTTATATTGATGTTTTATGCAAATAATAACAAACATTATTGTACATGTTTTCACTGTAAAATTATTATAATTTAGGGTTGAAGTTTTTTTTTTTGTTAAATTTTAATGTTATTCTAAGGTTTTGCAACAACATATTATATTAAACATTGTATTGATGTAAATAAATAATAATTAAGTCATTAGAATATTGCGATGATGTTACTATCAAGTTAGTTTTGGCGGATATTTATGGCTAATCTTATGTGTGAAAGTTATGGTTTTTTTAGTTATTGTATTTTGCTAATATTATTGACTGTAATCGAGTATTAGCCGGTTTCCCAGTACTTGCCAAGTACACCAACAATTAAAATTTAGGCAAGTAATTTGTGTAAAAATTGTTCCAACTACTGGTATATTTGTTAAGTACCTATATACTTTAAGTTATTAGTATGTTTGGCAGTATTTTGGCTTGTGACATATTCACCGACACTCATCGGGAAAGTCATCACTCATCAGTGACCAATTATTATTGAATAAACTATAAAAAAAACCATTAAGACGGCATAGAAAGAAATAAAGAATATAAAACCACCAATAGTCAGTAGGTATCAAAATATTGGCCAACTACAGTACTACACCTGCAGTTGTGAGAAAATGGGGTGATTGATAGCAAGAGCTTTGGGTCGTATTAAATACACTCAAATCCGTGATAACTAAATATTGATATGCCGTAAAACTTGATCGGTACATATACGTTGATTGTTACATAGTTTGTATATGTACGGTACTACGGTGTACTCAGCTATGCGTTAAATCGTGACATCATGAAAGCTTAAAAAAAACAATAATCATGATGTCGGGAATGAAAAATTGATAACCATTGATACGGTTCTGTCCATTTTTATTTACTTATGAAACCGGCCCTGTTGCGATCCAGATATTTAGTTCGGTTGACAAGGGTCGAATCAAATGAATTTACTCGTAGACAAATTAATTATTATTATTAATTTATTGTCTTGGGTTAGTAATTTAACTTTTTAAGCACTCAGAGCAATGTTGACAATTTAAGACAAATATCTCTAACATGAATACTGTCAACTAGTCGTCACGAAGAAATAGTGTGTTTGGTCTCCCTGATGTGGGGCCTTTATATACTAGACAAACAGTCAGATTACATGGTATTTTACAAGGTCCCACTTAAGTATTCACAACGGCTATTTTACTACTTTTAGAAATCAACTTTTCCTTGTGACATTTATTAATAGTAATTAATATATTGTGCCACGTATGCCGTGTGCAATACTGTCTTAATAATATATTCGTGTGCGGTCCCTTACCTTGACTATCTCAACAGCCCACTGGAATTCCCTTATTTAAGCCCTATAATGCAGAGGATAACGGCACACCAACATAATATTATGTATTTATGTGTAATAAGTAATTATTTTATACATACAAATATGTAAAATCTATACCTGTTAAACAATGTCACTAAATGACTAAACAAGAAAAAGAGGGAAAAACAATTTGTTATCATCGAAATGTCTAAGCATCTTAACACTATCACAGAATATAACACTATAAACGTAATGCGGGCATTCCGGCGCTATCATATTATGATACGTATTGGACCGGCCCTCATTATTCAGTAGTGTCCTGAGTAAATAAATTAAGATAAATTAATAGAGAAAATATAATACGAAGGACGAAGGGTTACCGTGGTAAAAAATGCAGTCCAGTTGTGGATAACTCCAAACTGTAATCCAACATTGATACGTTTTTATAAAATTTTAATTTTATTCAGTTCAATATTATTTTTTGATTATTATTATTTTTTTGATTTAAAATCAGAGTTGTCATCAAACAGTCAATGTGTGAAGCTGCAGCACACAGTCTTGGAGTGCAGTAAACACAAACGAAAAAATTGTTCGATCACGATTAATATAAAAAAAAACACGCTTATACTATTTTCATCGTTGATGCTTTATTAAAGCATAATATTTTAGGCTATGCTCGAATTAAAACGACGAGTGTGTCGAGTGTGATGCGTCGATGTAACCTCAAGCGGCCGCTTAGGTGGTCCGGAGGATTCGCGCGGATCTGAGCAATGATGGGGTGGCCGCCAACAACGACGCTTGTTCTATCGGAAGCACGTACGGGTTACCGATTCTCACACATTTATTTCAATGATTTCGTACCACCCATCAACACCATGAGCAACGGCTCTATATCGTTTGAAATAATTTTTACGTTTGCTACAAATCGACGCGGCCACGTATTACGGCCACCAGTTATGGTATGACAAGATGAAATTTCAGACAAAACACAGTCACTTAAATACATACAATTTGAAAAAAAACTATGAAGACAAACCGATAACAGTAGGTAGGTTAGGATAACATCCAACGGGCGTATATCGATTCCGCCGGCTATTGACTACGCCGGCGACCGTTTATAATATCTACATATTGATTCCGCCGGCTACTGTTTATCCCTCCCTTGTAATTTGCAAATGTCTTTTTAAAATTACAGTCCTACATAATATACTTTATAATACATGTATAAAATAATAATAATTGTATAATAATTCAAAATTGATATGTATATTCTAATTAAAACATGTATGCGAATATTTTATAAAATGTATAGTCTAAATTGTAAAAAATAATGAAAATAAAACGAGTCAATATAGGTATTTTATTTTATTCCATACATATTGCAATAAAACGTGTATAACCTACACTACATTTAAATGTCATAACTATTCTGACTGAATCTTAACCTATATGAAGACAAATTGAACAAATTCGGGTTTTTTTGTGTCAACGAACAGTTCGTCATTCATTTAAAAATAATATCACGCTTTGGATGGTCAAAATTCAATCTTTTTGCTTTAAAATCGATGAAACAGAAACGTCACTTTAAAAAATATTTTCTATCGTTTCACCAGTTAAAATTCACTTAATAGTTGTTTTTTTTTCTGCCAAAATATAGTTTAACGATGCCCCAAGCCATCTGGAACAGATTTGAACTTGAGTCGGAAACACTTAAACCGCAAAATTAAATATAAATTAAAATGTATGTCAAATGGCGATCTACAATGGCCAATATATTATGACCGATATGAAAATAAATTCAACAAAGTCAGTTTTTTTTGTGTCAACAAACAGTTCATCGTTCACATGAAAATATGTACACGGTTTGGAGGTCAAAATTCAATCTCTCTGCTTTAAAATCCATGAAATAGAAACGTCACTTTCAAAACCCTTCTCTATCGTTAAAATAATTGAAATTTGTTTATTCTTGAATTTTTTTCCGCCAACATACCTATTGTTGTTACCTCAACTATGCTACAAACTAAATGTAACAGATTTGATGTTGTAGAATATATAAGTTGTAAGGATATAATTTTTGGGTAGTATTAAAATAACACAATCAATTCTACATAGTTATTAAGAGTACCAAATTTGTGAGCACTATGTGGTGTTTTGCTATTAAAAAAAATTAATAAATCAAAATGTTCTCAAAAATGTATAGATGTATGTTGTTTGTTGCGAAATCCGGTTTAATGTAATACGGTTATAACTCATCTGAATATGCTGGATTGCATGTATTAATATTATAAATTATAAATAAAAAGTAATAATAATATAAACAATATTATAGTTTAGTTTTTTTTTATTAACATTGTAATCGTATATTATTACACTTTAGAACAGAATAAAAAATAATAGTATAAATATCATACAATTTTCTTTATTTTCATTCTAATTTTTTAGCTTCTAGCGTTTGACTTTCTTCCACAATCGTCTAGAAGAAACCGGACAAATATTTGAGGGAAGACACGCTGGTGCTCTCAAATCAGTGAATTTCCATGGTCTCAGACATACATTGTACCAAGGACAAAAATAGAGGATTTGCAGAGACTGTCAGACCTGGAAGTCTGCGGTGACCGAGCGTGCAGGGTGGTTCTCGTCGCGCCACGACGATACGACACAGTGCACTACAGTTCACGACCGACTGAGCTTCAGCGGGCAGCACTTTCGAAGGAGCAAGATGATGTTTGTGCTCGATGGCGATTATGGCACGCAGCGGCAGCAGCCACAGGACCAGGATCAGGATCAGCTATACAAACGTGTCTAAAGATCGGTCTTTGCCGAAGGACCACCGAAAACGGTGGCCGCGTCCTGGAAACTGACCCGTGTTCGTTCTGTGGGTGGTCAGCTGGGCGGTTCGGACTAGAAAGCTTTTGGCTGCAGATCGGAGAGGCGTGTCGAGTGCATCGGACCGGGAAATGGTGACTGGAGGAACTTGGTGACTGTGGAACTGATTAAAGAATAAGAAGTGTGAGGGTGGCAGCTTCAATAGAAACGTGACAAGGCTTCGAGAACGCCAGCTTTCGTATATTACAGGAAACTTGCAGGTTAGATTTGAATGCTGAAAATAATAAAACGAAATTAAAAATTTTGATTTTTCCACGATTCTTCGACATTTATATATATTATATTCTATATAGTAACACTCATTAAAAAATCAATTCATACTACTGTATAGGACTACTTATGATATAGATATTCTATTAGGTACCATGTATTGTGGTAAAACCATTACATTTGTTGTAACGCTTCAATAAGTTTACTGTCTTGGATTTACCAAGTCAATTCTTATTCCCTTCAGTTTCACCGTCATTTTGTTCCTCCTCAATCATGTCACCATTTCTGCGGTTCCGAAACTCACTCGGCACACGCACTTCGATCTGTAACCTGGCTTTTTCGTCCGATTCGCCCAGCCGCTTTCGCAAGCACAGAACAAACACGGGTGGGCCGATTTCCAGTGGACTCGGCAGCATTTCCAGTGCACGGTCCTTCGGCGTAGACTCATCTATAAACTCGCCCCGTTGATCCTGATCCTCTGTCACCCGCTGCTGCTGCAAGTGCCGCTGCATGCCATGTTCTATGTTTATCTCCGTTGAGCTCGCATCCTCCTACTCCGCCGGCTGATTCGCGTTCGGCCGCACATTGTTGTAGTACACTGCGCTAAGTCATCTCCGAGGTCCCAACGAGAACGTAGCCTGGTCACCTCAAAGGCCCGCCGGCATCAGCCACATGGCTGACCTGGTCCGACAGCCCGCCGCTATAGTCCTCTATTCATCCTTGATAAAATATGTCTGGTTAAGCTCCTTTTCGGTTCCACTGACATTCCCCGATGATTTGTAACACAGCCAGCGTCTTTCCTCTCGTGTGCCCGGTTTCATAGTGAATATCCGTAGTTTATTTTTACAACTTTGGTATTTAAATAAACAAATCTCATTACTATGGTCCAAGATATTATTATTTTACTCGATTGTAGCCAGATACCATATATAATCCATGTATGTGTATTTATGTCATATTAATACCTACCTCATAAGTTTTAACTTTTAACTAAAATCCGCTTTAATTGTCGTGCCGTAATAGTTTTAACTAATGGCTACAAAAAAAAAAAAACTAAAATCCGCAAATAATCAATATAATAATGAGCAATGGATATAGATGATCGACATAAGCTCAACTGAGGGGGCTGGAGTATCTGTGCTGTAGTGGCTACGACCTCTAAAAGATAACCCATTAAAAAAATTATCCTCTGAACTCACATAATATTAAACTTAAATAAATAAACAAAAATTTGGATTTACTTATTTTATACTTATTACTATAAGGTCCATAGGTATATACATGTCGTGTTTTAATAACAACATATAACAAAAAATGTATACACGCATTGTGTGTACTCATATTATGTATGACATGTGACAAAACGACACATATTATACTCTCGTACGTACCTTTATTATATTTTTGTATTATGTATAGCGCGAGTTAGGTATTATTATTTTATGTATACAGAGGGAATAAGAATTTCGTCGTCGGGGTACCTCGCTTTATATGTATAATTATAATAATAATAATAATCTTTATATATATTATTAAAACGTGAGGCGTTTTCTTGTGACAGTTATATCTGAAGTTCTACCGGGCTGATTTTCACAATTTTTTTTTTAAACGAAAGTAATCGGTGCTTATATGAGCCATCAAAAGAGAAAATTCCAAAAAGTTAATTATTTTAATAGTAATTAAAAGTATAAAGTTTGTCGTATACCTATATGTAGGCGGCGACCCTAGGGTTTCCATAGCTACCTGTAACCTGGCCTTTTTATATCGACGTGTAGATATGAATTGTTCCGAAAAGTTGATCGATAAAAATTATCTCGCACACATAATACAACTACAGAGCAGTGCTGTAATATTGTGTCTTCGTCCGTTTTTTATTATACCTATCGTTTATTTGTGTTTCTTATGAGTTATGACAGTTATACATCTTATTTTTTCTAACGCAAGTACTCGAAGCCATCAAAAGATTAACGTCAAAAAAAATAATTATTTAAATAGTTATTAGAAGTGTTAAGTTAACGACAAATTTTACCAGTTGTCTCACATGGATCTAGACAGCTTACAATACAAAACTGTATAAAATATTCTCCGATTTGGCTGAATTGTAAAATTCTTAAACTATTTAGAAATATGCGAGTACACCAAAATGAAATTGAATTTTATAAGTTTTTTTTTTTTATTGAACTTAAGCCCGGCGACTAGGTCCATTAGCTGTTGTAGGGGTTATGAACTGTGGCAGGGGGTAAGGTTGGTTGGTTATTTGGTTTTTTTTTTACGATTGTTACGGTAGATAGCAAACACGTGTATGTGTGGCAAGGTTTTTAACTACCACGAACCCGGGTGGTCACCCATCCGGGAATTAGAAGCTGTGGCCGTTACTTACTCCTATTCGCATTCCGCGACTGGCAGCAGCCAACGCGCCACGCCGAGCCACTTACAAGTTTTTGTTACATATTGGAAATTGCAAATACCCACTAATAAATCCTTATTCGGACAAATATTCAATTGAAATAAAACCATCGCTATTATCAAGTGATATATTAAAAGACGTTTTTGAAAATATTATTTTTAGTTTAGAAAATGTGTCTAATTTTTCACAATTTGCTATTCTTACACCTAAAAATGAACATTATGATAAGATGAATAATGCAATTGTCACTATGTTGCCAGGACCAGAAAAAAGGTATTTAAGTGTGAGTATAGTGTCAAAAGAATGTGACGATTTTTTGTTTCCTACAGAATTTTTAGATAGTTTACATTTAAGTGGTTTACCTACAATACAGTTTGATACTAAAGAAAGGTGCTATTGTAATACCCTTGAGAAATTTAAATGTAATCTCCAATCTAATGAATGGCACAAGATTTATAGTACGAAATATGTACGATCATTCTTTAGACTTGGAATCTATAACTGGTCCCTAGACTGGTCAGCGTATTTTATAGCCTAGAATTGATTTAACCCCGACAGTTTCTACTCTTCCCTTTTCATTTACCAGACATCAGTTTTCGAATAGCTTTTGCACAGGGTAAGACATTGGATAAAGTAGGTTTATATTTACCCCAACCTGTGTTTAGTCATGGACCATTGTCGATTTTGTGTTGCCATGTTCAGAGTTAGATCTTTCGAAAAGTTAAAAATACAAATAATACCACCAAACAACAAAAAAGATACAATGAATATCGTTCATAAAGAATTTCCATAATAATAATACACAAATTCGTTGAAATTCATTAGTTTATAGTAATTTCTTTTGTTTTGGGTGAAGTATGTATAGTTTTCCCATTCATAAAATAAAAATATATCTTACGTATACCTATCTATAGTATCTATAAATGTAATTAAAGCTTAAAAAATTAAATTATTTTAAATTTTATGTTTTTTATTAATTGCATACTATTCTAACGATGTATACATGATACATCCTTTATATTTATTTGTATATACACAATTATTATTCAACTATTTGATTTTTTTTTACCGTAACCCGGCAACGACGGGTAATTTAGCTAGTAATAATAATTGTGTGCAGGATGGCAATACCTACAATACCACGATACGCATACACGCATAGCGTTCAGTATAATATCATATATAGGTATAGGCACTATATACAATATTTACATGCATCATGCGTGTATGTGGAGCAAAGGACGAAGGGTGCATTGTTGATTAAAACCTAAATGGCCACCGCGGCCGATATAATATAATATATATATGGAAGAAAAACGGACCGCGATCGACAAAGGATCTATACATATATTTATGTATAAGTATATAAAGCAGGACACAAATCGTTCATAAAAGTTATAATACAATATAATACATCGGACGCCGCGGATTTTTGCTGACTCGGCTAGGCGTGTATAATAAATATAGTATACCTATATGTATATATATATTATATACTTGCACAGTTGCACATATTATACACGTATTGTGCGATTATATTATATATAAATATATATATACATGTAACATGTATAATAATAATGTAGTTTGGCAGTGCATACCGTGTGAATGCCGCGCTGCAGAAAGAGCGCACGTCGGCGTTTCGAATAAAATATATTTTGTGAAAAAAACTCATCAACTACCAACGCGTGACGGGGGGTGGGAGTGGAAAGGCACGAAGTTGGAAATTGATTTCGAACCCAATAGAATTCCTCCCCAGGTGGGAGCTACAGTGATTTTATTAAAACCTTAGAAAATGTATGAGATACTAAAATCGTACCTTTACGAATGCGATCGTTCTTCCTGTGTACTAAAATAATATTTAAGTAGGTACCTATAACTATAATAATATAATATGATGGCTATACATTTTAATTTAAAGATATAAATTATGCAGAGATAATGGGTAAAAATTGAAATTTGAATTTATACATAATAGGTTAAGTAGGTATAACTAAAAACATCTTACATTTGTATCACTGTAGCCTGTAGGTATCATTTTATTTTTTGTTATACATATTATTTATCATTTTTTATTCGATGAGATCTGTACTGCGAAGGTTAAAACTCTTTGCGGGAGTGTCACCGTAGGTATATAATATTATAATAACGACCGTTACGCGTCGGAGTACAATATTGAATATACTATATTATATTACTCATATTATTCCTTAGTACCGCAGAACTGCATGTATTTATATTTTTGATAATGCAGACATATTTTTACAGTGAATGATCACTCCGTCCCCTCGAGGTTTGCCCATACATGAATCCTAATGATATAATAACAAAACAAATTAAAATTTTTGTTTGTGGTATATATATAGGTTACCTTTTGCAATTTATGTTAAATAAGTATGAATGAGAATATGAGATCCCTTTACTCTTCGAAAAATCCTAAAAGCATTACATTAGCCTGGCTATTTTGAAAATCAATATTTTTTTTTCACAAAGATTTAGCACTTTACTAGCATGGATTTGCACAAAAAAAATTATAATTTTCACGAAATTAATCAATGAGGCAGATCCAGCATCGTGTTTCTAAAGTTGCGCAAGCCCGGCCGCATACTATTGCCTGTCACTATAATATTTAAAAAGAGGGTAATTGGAAGTCACTCTGATGCACATTAGGTGTCTAGGACTTAGGAATTCACTGTAATAGATGGTATTCAATTTGAATTCAATGAGAAAACATCATTGCATATACGAAAAACGATTCGGAGAGGAGACGGTATAAGTCAGTCAAGGATGTTTTATATTGTTATTACTTATTGTCAATACGGTCGAGGACAAGATATTGTTCATTTTAGAACAAAATAATAATATCACTAAAGCTGTAAGAATAAAATAGAAATATTATACTGATGTATATTGGGATGTTTTTCAAATAAAAAATTTAAATTTAAGACGAAAATATGAACAAAATAGATATTCTTTGTGTTAACCTGTCATGTTTGTGTTATATCGACTATATTTCAACATAAAATAAATATAAAAAAAGTTGGGTTTATGTTTATTTTTAGATTTGTTGGTTCAAGAATTAATTGATTACCTACAAGAAATTTT